ATGATGGTAGTGCTGGAGGCTGAACTTGTTTGCTGGGCTATGTTGGACTGATCTTGTATCAGGTCTCCAGTCCAGTGGAGGGAAGGTGAGGGGAATCCACCAGGCCAGGAGCACAGCAGCCGCAGAGAGGTGTGATTCAGAGCCGGCTCCACAGAACAGGACGGGGAGCCATCAGGGGGGTCTGTGGGGAATATAGCACAGAAAAAGGTTATTGTTTGGCAGCGATACTAAAGACGTTAGGTAGAAATTATTATAACAGAATAAAATAAGTGTTTTCGTCATTCGATATTTCCACTTCCCAAGAGAAATTGTTTGTGTGTCTGTGAGTACACAAGGAAGAAGAACACACGGTAGTGGTACAGGGCCGACAAAGGAGTTGAAATCATGGTCAAGAGGTCAGAGGTCACACTCACAGTAGACAGTCAAGCTGATGGTGTTATTGGAGCTGGTGTTGAGGTAGGTGTTCTGTGCCAAACAGGTGTAGTTGCCAGTGTGCATACGGAGGCTCTTGGTGATGGTGAACTTCTGCCCAGTATAGACCTGGGAGCTGTTGTAGAACCAGACGTACTGACTGGCTGGATTGGACTGGGCCTGACACAGCAAGGAAACAGCCTCCGTCTCCAGAGCCGAGTAACCCCGCCTGGTCATAGTGTACGGAATCACGTCTATCTGAGGAATGTCTGGTCCAACTGAGGAGAAAGAATATGAATTCTTTCCCTTAATCAAGAAATAAGGGACACAGGCGTGTTATGTGCAAAACTCATATTAGTCTGATAAGAAATCTTGTTTTATGCTACAGTAAGAAAACTAACCCTTACTTGATTCAGCCATAACTACAAGCTTTATTAACAAGGAAAGCTTCAAGCCCAATCTTAAAAGAAGTGTAGCTCTCTGTCTCCCAAACCCAAAGAGGGAGCTGCACAGGAGAGAGCCTGATAGCTAAAGGCTCCACTTCTCAGTGTACTTTAGGAAAATCTAGGAACAACAAGTAAGCCTGCACTCTGAGAGCACTCTCTTTTGGGTCAAAATGTTACTGTTAGGTTTTGAGGATGTTATGTAAATGAGTAATTACGGGAAAAGAGGGACTTTCTGTTCCTGATATTACAGGAAGCAAGGAGAAGACAGTACAGACAATGATGTGGTTTTCTTGGTCCCTGTGCCACTTTCAGGATTCTTGCCAACTTGTGGGATGTGCTGTTATGGTTAACAAGAGCAGACAGCATCAGCAGGCTTCTGCTGTTGGCTTTGGCCTCTTTCAGCAGGATAGAGGCACCCTGCCACAAAGTAAAAATGTTTCAGGAATAGTTTGAGGAGTACAACAACAAGTCTGAGGTGTTTTCGAGCATCTGTGGGATTTGTCGGCGATATAGGTCATATCTATGGAGGCCCTATCTTACAACGTATGGGAATTAAAGGATCTGTTACTAAAATCTTGGTGCCAGATACCAGCACATTCTCTTTAAATTTAATCAGACATAAAATATCAAAGAAAAAATGAATCATGCTGGGTACTAAAAAAATCCAAGTATAGAAAACAAAACATTTTACTTACTTGTGGTCTGTAACAGTTGTGTGCTTTTAATTGCTTGTAGTTTCCAATGTATTTACCTGAAAACTTGTTTTAAAAATGTTTATATATTAAAACTCACACAGAGTGTTCAGCCATAGGCGGTCAGATTTCTCGCTGTTGACGGCGTTGCTGGCAACACAGCGGTACCAGCCGGTGCGGTTGCGGTTGACATTGGTCATGTTGATGATGCTGCTGTTGCCCAGTGTGAAGGTTGTGGCGTTACCATTGTAGGTTTCATAATGCCAGGTGTACTGGATCGGTTCAGTTCCATTTTCCACACTGCAGTTCATCCACATTGAAGATCCTTCCACTGGAGAAGCATTACTCATCAGGATGTAAGGCTTACTGACAGACACTGTGTTTAAGACAAAATCATACATGCAGGTCTGTTGAAGAAGAATATTGTCACATTTTTGACTAAAAATATAGATTATATGTTAACCTCTGGTATGTAAGCTTTAGTCAAATCCAGGTTCAAACCTAAGAAAGGGCCCAAAGACTTCATAATATTTGTCCCAAAGTTTTTCTCAACCAGTATAATTTTGTTCTTGGTTTGACCAGACAACATCTGTAATGGCCTGCTCATATATTAAAATGCAGATTTAATAGGAAATATAAAACATGTTTACAAACTGGTAAAATAAATTCTTTTGGTCTCTATGAATACAGTAGTTTCTCTATTCATAACAGCTGTCCTATTTTCCTGTCTTCCTCTCTTCACCCCAAACTGTCGATGCAGATGCCCGACCCTTAGCAACCCTGGTTCTGCTTGAGGCTTCTTCCTGTTAAATGGGAGTTTTCCCTTCCCACTGTCGCCAAAGCGCTCGCTCATAGGGGGTCATATGATTGTTTGAGTTTTCTCTGCTTTCTTTGTATTATTGTAGTGTCTATCTTACAATGTAAAACACTTTCAGGCAACTCTTGTTGTGATATGGTGCTTTATAAATAAAACTAAATTGAATTCATGTGGTTGAGCAAATTCGTATGATGAACATTTGTTATAACAAAGCATCACTTAGATAAACGTGACATATTTTAACTTATTCTATGTAAAAACCTGAATTAGAAAATATAATTTCAAATATATTAATAATGGCATTTTTCCTTCCATTTAAAAGGTCTAAAACATGTCTGGATTTGTACATAAAGTTGTCACAATTCAAAGGCTTAGAATTTCAAGGATCCTTTAAAAACTTTGTGAAATGTTTATGTAGAAGTGATAACATGGTTCTCAGATTGTAAGTAAGCTGAACATCACTCGCACTGACCCAGTGTGAGGCTGCAGGTCTTGGATTGAACCAGAAGTGGGTGCCTGGCATAGCAGGTGTAAGGTTTCCCGCTGTGAGCTGTCCCGTACGGAAGGATTAGGATGTTGGAGTTTTCTTTTCCACCCATGCTCTGGCCCGCAGGTCCCTCCCACCACACCAAGGCTTTAGGGAACCCTCCTTCCCAGGAGCAGGACATCATGAAGTACTGTTTGTCATTAGTCACGTCAACAAAACACACTGGCTCTGCAGGGGGAATATCTGATGGAAGAGAAATCAAATGAGTGATGTTGAAAGTGTATAATCTTCACATTTACACTCTCATTTGTTTAACTTTCTGTTGTTCTTTGTTGACATTTCTGCACCCACATGTGCGTGTCCTGCACTGTGTCGACTGTTTCAGGGCAGGATGGGAGCCCACGCACGTAAACAAGCTGTTATTAGAAGTCGGGCCTCCAGAGGTCAGCGAGATTGCAGTGCTGATGAGGATGGTAGTGCTGGAGGCTGAACTTGTTTGCTGGGGTGTGTTGGACTGATCTTGTATCAGGTCTCCAGTCCAGTGGAGGGAAGGTGAGGGGAA